TCCTTTTTAAATTAGCTTATAAACTTATTAATAGAAATGATCTTTTATGGGTGCAGGTAATGAGAAATAAATACAAGATGGAAGGGATACTGCCTGAAAAGCTAACAAAGAATGGAGGATCAGCTCTTTGGAACAACATATACAACCTATGGACATAATTTAAACAGAATATTTGCTGGAACATTGGAAACGGAAATCAAATTGAATTTTGGCAAGACATATGGCTAGATAACAATGGCCCTCTATCCAGACTATGCAACCATCCGATTGAAGTGGAGAATGACAGATCCAAAGTTAAGGAAATGATTAACCAAAATGTTACATGGGACTGGAACAAGATTGCTCGACTACTCCCAGATCAAATCATTAATAAGTTGAAAGCTATACCTCCTCCAGTAGAAGAAAACATTGCAGACTCCCCAGGCTGGATTCTCTCGGAGAAAAGAGTCTTCACGGTCAAATCTGCCTACAAGAAAATAGCAAATATCAATTCCATGGAGGAAAAAATCTGGTACACCATTGCCAAACATAATAATATCCCTAGAATTAAAACTTGCTATGGCTTATAAGAAACGACAAATTACTGACCAACTCGGAAAGAGATCATAGGCATATGACAGTGGATGAAAGTTGCCCTATGTGTAATTATGAGACAGAAGATATCAACCACATACTGAGATTCTGCCCGAAAACCCTGCTGATATGGACTGAACTGCTGTGTAACCAGAAAATGAACAAGTTTCTGAGTAGCAACACCAAGGAATGGATCATAGAAAATATCGAAACAAGCCAATCCCCTTCGCCAAGAATTGAAAACTAGCCTACCTTTTTCAGCTCTGTTATCTGGTACATTTGGAAAAGAAGAAATCAGGTGTTTTTCGACCCATAAATGGTCGAAAGGGACTCTACTATTCAATAAGCCATAAGACATACCCAAGATCTCCAAAATACAAAAATTACTAAAATCGGAAATACCCAAATCAGAAATAGAAACCAATACAAATGGCAGAAACCATACAGAGGATACTGCAAGGTTAATACTGATGAGACCAAACGATAGAACACAGGAGAAGCTTTGTGCAGGGGAATTGCAAGAGATCACAATGGAAATTGGCTTTGGGGTTTTAGTAGGAAAATCGAGGCTTGTTCCATATTGGAAGCAGAACTTTGGGGCATTCATGAGGGATTAAATGTTGCTTGGATGAAGAGTGAAAGAAAAGTAATTTTAGAATCTGATAGCAGAGAAGCCATCAACCTCATCACGAACAAATTGACTGAACACAAGAAACTAACTATTTTGCAACACAAAGAGAAATTAATAAAGAAAAATTGGATGGTTGAATTAAAACACATACCTAGAGAGGCCAATCAAACAGCGGATATAATCACCAAGCATATATGGAGATATCGGGGAGACACAATTCTTCTGCAAAATTCCCCCAAGGAAGCTGAGAAGTCTCTAATTGTTGATAAAACGGGCAGCTAAGCAGCCATCTGTACCTTTTTTAACAAAAAAAATACACATTATACATTTATCAACAATCAGTTGATCTAATAAAACGATTCTAATTTTTTTTTGTAAAGTCAATAATTTAATAGAATAAACTTAATTAGGAGAATCGTCTCATAATAAACTACTAAGTACTCGATTTGAATTAATTGATTAATAAATTAAAAAAACTATAATTAAAAAAACACTTTTATGCGTTGATAATTCTGTGTTATGATTAGACATTAAAATAGCATGTATACGTATGTAAAGCAGCATAACAAGAAAATAGTAAAAAATGCCTCCTTTTTTAAGTCTTAATATACCTTTTATCTCATTTACTTGTTTGTTTTACATTCATTGAATAAGAAAATGCATCTTTTATTTTTTATTTTTCTAGAACCAATTTCATACAAAAAATATATTCCTTTTTTCTTTTCAAACTTGCTTTCACATATTAAACAACTTGAGCTTATTCAATGATTGAATTTATATAATATTCTAATTGAATATATTCTTTATTTTTTTTATTAAATTTATTGATTTAATATTATATATATATATAATAGTCGATGTGATGTATATATCATGTTATTATTTTTTATAGCATAATATTATAATATGTTATTTTTTATGTAATTCCGTGATGCATTTCTATTAAAAATGTAAAAAAAATCATGTTAATAATAAATATTAATTATTAACTAATTGACAATTTAATTTAAAAAATATTTTATTTAAATATTAAAGATGGATTTTAAAATTATGTAAAATAAAATTCATGATGTTTTAAAGTTGACTTATTCTCCCCACGGTATCTTGGAGCTGAAGATCAAACATTGGATTGGCTATTGGGGTTTGGCTAATTCCACTTTTTGAAAATATGATTGTAGTCACCGGTCGTACACACACGCGCCAACCAAATTCAACAGAAACCGATTTGAAAGAAAAAGCAGTAACAGAACTGACCAATGAGACACCAGAATTCCTCTACAAATTCCAATTCATTAGTATTAAATCGTACAAATATGGGTAAACTACAAATTTCACTAATCAACTTTCTTCTACTCTTGTTTGGGTCACTCAATGTTGACATTCTCCTATTTTGATCACTCGAGCTAAAATCAATAATAAAAAAGTGACATGACAATTTTTGCTAACATAGATTGTTGTTTATTGACGTGGAAGCTACATGTTGTCTACGGTTAACCACAACATCATCAAACCCAAATTTTTTCTATGCTTTTTGCATCTCTGATAGTTTCTTCCATATATTTTTCTTCAATTATATGTGATGATGGTGGCGTTCTTTCCTTTCTTATTTCTTTTGATTGAACGGATGTTGGTTATTATGGTCACCCTAAGGGTGCGTTTGGTTCACAGAATGTAAGATTACCAGTGAGAATAAAAGATTACCAGGGAATAGGATTATTGGGAATGTTGTATTTTGTGTTTGGTTGGTTTAGCAGGAATGTAAGATTACCGTGTTTGGTCAAAAGGAATAAAAGATTATTGGAATGTATATTTGACCAAATTGTCCTTATTATATATTTGTATAATATTACAAATTGTAAAATATTTATATATTTTCTTTAAAAAATTAAATTCATAATATTTATATAATTTTTTTACAAAATTAAAAATATAAAAAATGTTTAATGAAAGGGTAAAAAAAAATTTAACCCCTAAACTTCATATAAAATTTTAATTATAGACTTTTTTTTTGTAAATCTAAAATAATTTAAGGATAAATTTGTAATTTAACATTCGTAGAATTTTTATTATTCAATGACAGAAGAATGATATTTTTGAAAAAAAATAAAAATTTAAGGGCATTTTAGTCAAAAACACCGGTAATGTTACAATACCTAAGGGAATGGAGGTAATGACATTCCCGGTAATATACCCCAAAAAATCTACTATTGGTAATAAAACATTACCGGGAATGAGATTCCCGGCCAACCAAACATGGGAATGTGGGATTCCCATCCCATGGGAATCCCACATTCCTTGAACCAAACACCCCCTAAGATGCAGGGGAACCAACACCATCACTTGCCCTTTCATCTTGATTTTTCGTATCATTATTTCTTAAAATCATTTTTAAAAAACACAATACTAATTTCAATGGTTATGCAAATAAGAAATTTAAAAATATTGTGTCTTCAATTAGAAATGACATCCAATGCCAATAACTATGGTCAAAATCAAGTAAAACACACTTTAACAATAAAATCTAAAAGAAAAAAAATAAACCTCTTTTCATTCCTCACATTTGGCTTTGATGGAATTTTCAACAATTAGAGATTTCATTTGAAAATCCAACTGTGGATTGATGCCTCTTGAGGTGGGTATTAATATATCTTCATTTGAACTCCATCTAACAATGGAAGACAAAAAATTAGAGAACGAGAAATCAAAGAATTCAATATTAGATTCGTAGAACTTGGAGTGTTCTTAATTAAACAAACATCATATTCACGTCTAGGAGGATAAAATAAATTTGGCGATAAGTTTTTAGACTAGGGGGAGAGAAAAAGGAGGCAAGAAAAGAGAACAATGTTGTTTTGGTGTAAATTTAGCTTTTCCAAAATAATTTTGTTTTGGTGTCATCTATTATGTCATAATGTCGTTAACTATTTAACGGTGGAGTGACCAGAATAGGAACAATATCAAAGTTGAGTTATAAATTTTACACTTTTTCTCGCTCATACAAATCAATTAGTTAATTAGGGGGGAAAGTTGAAATAATTAAAAAAAGGCGTAGATAAGACAAGCCCATCATATTTCGTGGAAACAATGGCACCACGCCTTTTCAGATAAGATGGCTGGTCCATGGGACACCATCCAATCAAAAACAAATTTCCAATCATTTTTTATGTCTTGTTTTATTTATATGTATTTCTTCATTTTTAGGGTTTATAGCTATTCATTTCACATGTGTTATTTTGTGATCGAATACATAATATTGCTATAATAAGATGCACTCAATGATGCATTTGACTTTTCTTGTGTTTCTGTAAATCCATGGACATTAAAATAATTGATCGAATCGCATTAAACATTTAACATTTTTTAATTGTATTTTTGTTAAAAATAATTTTATACGAACAACTAATTGATGTAATGAGATAAAATATTATATTCTTTAAGTAATACCATAGATTAAATTTATGACGTTTATAAATAAAATAAATTAAAATATCATTCCCTATAACGAGGTTTTATAAAATATATATGAATTAACAGGTGAGTAACTGAAAAAAAGGACTTTATTGGTTTCACTACTGTTAAAAATCTAGGTTATTTAGGTAATTAACAAGTGGCCAAGTGCTGAAGAATCATTCTCTTGATGTGTTCCCCCTTTGCTAATAGTTTAATATTATTGGAGAAGATCATAATTGTAGGTTTTCGAATGGTCAACCTTTGTATATATAGGGAGAGAGAGAACAAGGAGAAGGATAGTCCTGACTTCAGAAATTTGCCTAGATTAATTTCTCTGTTTCCCTTTCTTTTCCATCTCCATTGCTGAAACAAAATTCTCAGCTTTGATGGGTATTCATGATGATGATGCATGTAATATTGGCCTCGTTCTCCGTTTAGGCCTCTCATCGACCGTGGAGTCACCGTCTAAGCCCGATAGCAACCAAACTCCCAGCAAGAATCCATCGTTTCTCAAGTTCGAAGCAACGAACTTTGATGATGAACCCTCGCTGACGTTGGGGCTTTCTAGCAGCGGTGGCGGTGGTGACAGTTACCAAGTTACGACTGCTGCTACACAAAAGGTTGATGTGAAACCTGCCGGTGATTTGTATCGTCAAGCTTCGATTGTTAGTGCTGTTTCTTTGTTATCAAGTGGTAAGGTGAAGAGGGAGAGAGAGGTTAGCAGCGAGGAATTAATGGAGGTAGAGAAGAATAATAATAATTCCTCTAGACTCAGTGATGAAGATGAAGAAGGCGTTAATGGAAGAAAGAAACTTCGGCTCTCCAAACAACAATCTGCTCTTCTCGAGGAAAGCTTCAAACAACACAGCACTCTCAGTCCCGTAAGCTTCAGCAATTCTTCTATCTGATATACATATATACATACATATATCAGTAATTGATTGATTAACCTTTTGATACTATATTTTATGCTTAACAGAAACAAAAGCAAGCTTTAGCAAGGCAATTGAACTTGAAGACTAGACAGGTCGAAGTATGGTTCCAGAACAGAAGAGCAAGGTAGATTAAACAACAAACATAATCTGGGATTCGATCATATCTACCAAATCATTGAAATAACTTCTTTTCTTGGGCAGAACGAAGCTGAAGCAAACTGAGGTGGACTGTGAGTTGTTGAAAAAGTGTTGCGAGACACTGACGGATGAAAACAGGAGACTGCAAAAAGAGATTCAAGAACTCAAGGCACTCAAACTGACTCAACCGTTTTACATGCACATGCAAGCGGCCACACTCACCATGTGCCCGTCTTGTGAGATAACCACCGGCGTCGGCGATGCCAATGGCAATTCCAACAACCCTTTTTTGATGGCTTCCAAGCCTCACCATTTCCATAACAATAATCCCTTAAGCAATCCTTCTGCGGCTTGTTGATTAAGTTTTTCAGAAACTAATTCGTATCAAAAGAACAGAAAGAAAATAGATCCCAACAAGCCATCAACCCCTTTATTATCTGGTTGAGGGCTTCTAGTGAATTAAAACTAGTTTAGTTATTTCATTAATTACTTTGTAGAAACAAATCATCTTTTTTTTACCCCAAATACATGTATGTAAATGTTCAATATAAAAGATATATATCATCTATGAAAATATCACTATTTTTTGTGTTTAGAATTGATTCTTTTGTTCCGTGTGTAATGGTATATTTCTTGTTTTGATCAAATTGCCCATTCAATTTCTATTCTTAGCTTTACTTAAAGTATATGCATGGTTATGGATGAACCAATGAATAGATAAAAAATGATTTGATGATGACATTGCTTTGATTTTTCTTTTTAAGTGTAGAAATAACAATGCACTTAATTATATTTGTACATATAGAAGAAAAATAACTACATTGACTATCATTTCAAAACGAAAATTCAGGATTTTTTTTTACAAGAACACTTGCTTTGAAACTACTTCTTACACACTTGTCAAAAAGAACTCATGTTGAAAGAATTTAATATTATATTATGTTTGTTGACATAAAATTAGGAAAATAATATGTTGGAAGAATGGTACAAAGGTTCATCCCATATTGATGGGTGGAATAGTGTCCACCTTTTTGGGTGTATCAAATGAAGAAGAAATATGATTAAGTGAGAAAGGAAAAGGTTGTGGGGAAGGAGGTTAGCTCACGTGTATTTCTCTCTAATTTCTTTTGTTTTATATGCACGAAAGTAAGAATCTATAATTTTGAATATCATATTATATAATAAATAAATACATAAGTACATTAAAATTTATAGGTCAAATTATGGGTTTAGTCCCTCTACTTTGCTGAAACTTAAGATTTACTCAAAACTTCAATTTTACATGCTCTACCACTCTATCTTTATAATATCCTCAATAATTTTGTTCAATATAATATCTTTTTGCTATAACCACTAGTTTCCGCTCTATTAATCGACTAATTTGGATCAGTTATTGCATAGGCCCAATATAAAGTGAGCCATCTTACTTAAGGGATTTAGTGTCTCATCTAATTAGGATCAAGTATTGCATAGACCCAATATGGAGTGACCTACATTCCTTAAGGGATCTAGTGTCTTATCCCACTAAATCAATTTATCATGCTATCTTTTTTTTGAATAGCTTGAGTTGATTACAAGATAATAATTGTTCAAAATTTTCTTAACTAATTGATAATACACACAACCTACAAATACAATTGCTCGAATCCATGACCTTTAAAAAATAACATTTGTTTTTACCACTGAGATCACTTAATGAATTCATGTTTTCTTTAACTATCCTAGTTAAAATAACCATGTATATTTCTCTTAAAAATAACCTTCCAATTTATCACGCTGAGTGTCGCTGACATTTTTTTGCGTTGGAAGGTGTATATTGAAAAGAAAAACGTTCTAGTAGAAAAAATGATAAAACTGAAATACATAGAATAAATGATAAAATTGAGATGATATAAAGGACCAAAAACACAATTTAATAATAATATATATAGGAGAAAAGTAGGAAATAATTTTAAAAAGAAAAAGTGGTGAGAAGCGTGTAGAAAAAGAAAGGATGATTCAGTTGAAAAACCCAAAAGGAAGAAAACGAAAGTTGAAAAGGAAAAAACCATGGTGTGGTGAGATGCTCGATGTTTAAGGGAACTGGTGGGTCATGCATCATCCATCCACGTGATGATCCAATGGGCAATGGCTCAACTTCAACCCCCTTTTTTTTTCACATCATGAGCCCTGGTTCCATTCCCTCAAATCCCCACACTTATTGATTAAAAATCCCAAAAGAAAGTTACATATTCTACACTTCTACGATAAAAGGAATCTAATTGTCCCTCTTAGGTTTCATCACTTCATCAAGTTGAGGGTATCATGGTGGTGGTGTTCCTTATTCGCAAGTTAAATGCATGTATTCGTTACAGGTACGCTATCATCATTGCTGTCCAATGTCCACACTCGACAGTAACTTGAATTATTACAAACTTTTGCTTATCAAATACTACTACTAATACTTCAAAAACTCTTCATTATGCGCACCGCACTTTCCTGGAAAATTAGGGTAACTTTCCAAGAAACTTTCTCATTCTCCGGTTTCTCTTCATCATATCATTATATCAAAGTTGTGAACTTTCCATTTGAAGTTAGCAAAAGAATTATTATGAATCGATCATTTCTATTTTTTTCTTCGTATACATGATTGGAGTTTTTGCCTTACGTGAGTGCCGACGTAATTCATACATGAAGAAAGGAACACCAAAAGACATGTGTCTTGAGTTGGATAATTTGTCCGTCAATGAAGCATATTATTTTGTTGGATATGGCATTTTCGAACAGATCTTTTGCATTATTATTTGTTTTGTATTTACTTATCTTTCAATTAAGGTTTGATGGAGTAGCAATTAAGCTGTTTTCTTTTAAACACAACAACAAGATACGGTTAAAACCAAACAACAAAGCATTTACGTGTTGTTTTGTATGCACTGTCGCCCTCCAATTATGGATACCTTGAGTGCAACTCTTTTGCTCGTCACCATAATCAATCATGCTCTCATATTTCATTTTCAAATAAATAAAGAAGAAAGGAAAAAACATTGTCAATGTCAAATTATTTATAGTATTTGGCTTGTTTAATATATGTCCTTGTAAAAGAATTGGATGCCAACTCCCGACCCAAATAATGAATTCTCTAGCTTTCTGGACCAGGGTTAGAACTTTTCTATAATGGTTCCGGTAAGTTGAAAAATTATTTTATTATTTTTAGTTCGAATCTTTTATATTTGATAGTCACATTATACAATGACTAAATATAGAATCAAACTCTATCAAATCGATTCATTAATTAACTGAGTGGTCAAAGATGCTCGTATTATCTCATTTTGTGTAGGTTTGAATAAATCGTTAATGTAAATAAGCTACTTAATTGACAGAGTGGTAAAGATGTTTATATTATCTCACTTTGAGATTCTATTTTTTTATTAACAATATTTGAATTATTTTTTAAGACATGTAACTTATTACCACTTAACTACTTAATCCTTTACATAAGTATTGCTTTAATAGGTATTACTATTAAACATGGATTTACCTTTAATGGGGTAGCCTACTATCTTACCTCCCCCTTGCCCCATATATATGGGAAAAAGGGACAGCCATTTCATTTGTAGAATTTAATAAATCAAGATCTAAACCATTTTAAAAGGTTTTTAAAAGTCCAGCTTAACAATTTATTTTAATTTAGTCTTTGAACTTTTTGTCTATATCAATTTATTAAGTTTAGAGGCTAAAATGGACAAATATAAAGATCAAATTTAAAAAATATCAAATTCAGGGACTAAAAGTTATTTATACCTTTTAAAGACACTAATCATTAACCGTAAACGGATTTGGTAGCTGGTTTTGGTTAGGGTTTTGGTGATTATGATTGGTTAAAGTAGAGCTGAACCTGACCTGACTCATCCGTGACTAAGAAGTGGTAATTTCCAATTGAGGGGAAGAGCCGACCTAGGAGAATAGTTGGTGTGTAAGACAAAAGCAAACATAATTTAAGGCTAAAATGACTTACGGCCTAACTTTGTCAAAATCCCATTAATGATATTGCACCACAAAGTCAATAGGAAATCCAATGATGAAGCTCCATCTTACCATTAAATGATATCATGCACATGTGATTTGTTGCCTATCTCCAAGACATGAATGGAATTCGCCATTCAATATCTTAATTATTTTGTATGCTAACTTATGGGTGTAAATGAATCGAACTTGAACGGATAATGTTATATTCATGTTCGTTTGTTTATTTTTGAAAGTATTTATGTTTGATTTATGTTTGTTTAAATTTTTAAGGTCGTGTTCATGTTCGTTTATTTATTGTTTTTAAACATATTCGTTTATATGTTCCCAAACATATTCATTTAACGTTCACGAACATGTTCGTTTAACGTTCGTTTATATATATTCAATTTTAATTTTACCCTTTTCATTTGCAAGCTAAAGAAAAATGATAAAATTATGCCAATAGTGCTCAAACTCCTTAAATTTCACAGTTTAAATTTTATCATGTATTCAATTTAGTCCATACCTCCATCAATATTTAAAATGTAAAAAAAAGGGTAAAAGAGAACCGAGTAAACAAACTTGTTCATGAATATAAATGAATGAGTCGATAAACGAGCTAATGAACAAACTCATAAACGAACTTGTTCGTGAACATAAATGACTCGAACACACATCTTTTCGCGTTCGTTCGTTTATTAAATGAACATAAAAATTTTGTTCATACTCGTTTATTTAGCTTAACAAATGAACATAAACAAACGTTATATCAACGATTCACGAATAGTTCACCGAATGCTTTGTTCATTTACACTCCTCGCCTAAGCTTATTGAGTGATCTCAATAGTTAAAAAGAGTGTTATTTTTTTTAGATCTTAGGTTCGAGCAATTACGTTTGTAAGATTTGTATATTTTGTCAATAGTTAAAAAAAGATTACAAGCATATGCTACACTATAATCACTTCACACTAATAAAAAAAATTATTTTGGTCGTATATATTTGAATTTGATCCCAAATATGATTTTTTATACCGATTTGAAAGAAAAATCCTTCGATATTGATACATGATAACTTGATGAGGCATCTTTTGAATCTCTTCTTTTTTTTGCCACTTTATTAAGAGGACAACATAAAAAAAATATTACTTGTTTATAACAAGGTTTTCAAACTATCATCCAAAATTTTAATTGATTCATAAATGTTAAAATATTTTAATTATGTAGTTAGAGTATTAATGTTATATTAATAAAAAAATCATATAAATTTTCAGATTAATATCGATTTAAACAGTATATATATTGAAAATAAAAAAATTAAATTATAAACACAAGTGTTCCTAGTGCATGGGATGGATAACACAAATTTAACATATTAACAAAAACATATTATGTCAACAAAAGTTAAAAACTTGTTTTTTTTTTTTTCTTTTTTGACAAATCAAATTTAAATTGTACTTAAAACTTAACAATTTAAACTACTTATTTTAAGTACGTTTTACATCAAACTTAATTTTTCATTTAATGTTTGAGTAAATAACTAGATTG